GTTGTTGTTATTCTTTCACTTGATGTACCAGTGGTAGTTGCTTCTTCGTCGTCTTCACTTAAATTATTCGGTTTATTCGTTGTTGTTATTCTTTCACTTGATGTACCAGTGGTAGTTGCTTCTTCGTCGTCTTCACTTAAATTATTCGGTTTATTCGTTGTTGTTATTCTTTCACTTGATGTACCAGTGGTAGTTGCTTCTTCGTCGTCTTCACTTAAATTATTCGGTTTATTCGTTGTTGTTATTCTTTCACTTGATGTACCAGTGGTAGTTGCTTCTTCGTCGTCTTCACTTAAATTATTCGGTTTATTCGTTGTTGTTATTCTTTCACTTGATGTACCAGTGGTAGTTGCTTCTTCGTCGTCTTCACTTAAATTATTCGGTTTATTCGTTGTTGTTATTCTTTCACTTGATGTACCAGTGGTAGTTGCTTCTTCGTCGTCTTCACTTAAATTATTCGGTTTATTCGTTGTTGTTATTCTTTCACTTGATGTACCAGTGGTAGTTGCTTTTTCGTCGTCTTCACTTAAAGCACTCGGTTTATCCGTTGTTGTCATATTTTCACTTGGTTTAGCAGTAGTCAATTCTTCTATACTGGCTTTACTTAAAATGCTTGGGCTGTTTGCCGTTTTTGTGGTTTCACTTGGCTTAATAGTTGTTGCAGTTGATTCAGTTTGTGCTTTATTTACAAACATTGCTTCTTTCCCTGCTGGTTTTTCTGTGCTTGTCCTAGGTAAGTTATATGGTTTCTCTTTTTCATTAGAATTGTCTAAAATTAACACCAAATTATATTTAAAGAATTTTTGTAAATTAAATATATTTTTAAGAATTATTACCGCAAGGATTAGAATTTTCAATTGGATATTCACTATCTTCCGTAGAATCGTCTGAATAACTTGGTGGATATTGTGAATAAAATGACGGTTCATGTTTTGGATAATTTTCGATGGGTGTCTGAGTTTTATGTACACATTTTTTTCTACTATTGGAGAAGACCATACCATGTGGGCAGGAATATACACGCGCTGTTAAATCATAACTACATCTGTAATATATTGATTTATCTGTGGTAATAGGGAAACGACCTTCTGTAACGCAATTTGGTTTATAGTGTTGCATTGGATGATTACCACAATGACCAGTCGAGTTATTAAAAACCTGGGCGTAAAATTTAATTAACATAGGGATGAAAAAAACTCTATTGTAAATTTTAGAACTTACCTCCATACCATTACATTTGCCAAATATAACACAGTAGTCTGTACAAACGAAGTAATAATGATGGCGGTTAGGATGGTATTGAGTACCACGATAATTACCTGGACAACGTTTATTCTAGAAAAAAGCATTTTATTTACATTAATATGATATTTTTGTATTATAAATGCATTGTCTTTCGACTTACATAGTCAACTAAAAGTGGTATTCCTCCGCCAGGAAATGTTGTCACAACACCACGCCTACTATCGTAAATTGTACCAGGCGGTGAGAATAACGTGGGCTAAAAAGATATATATGGTATAGAGATATATAAAGATAATAAAATAATTTTATTTTAAAACTGAGAGTAATCTTTTTTTCTATCAGAATGTTTATCTATAAACATAAACTAAAACACACATTATTATAAAATATAATTGTAATATTTATAATATAATATAATAATGTAAAATATTGTATTAATTTTATATTAAATAACAAATTATATATTACTTATATAATTATATAAAGTAATTATATAGTATAAATACGTTACACGTATTCAACGTAATATACATATACTACATACTTTATACAACATTATGTTATTAAAAAAATGGACTTAAATTAGTATGTAGTGTTTTAGATAACTCACATATAAGTTCTTGTATTTTTACATGTGTTATAATATATATGGAATGAAAATGGAAAGATACAATGGTTTAAGATACAATCTGAAGAAGTTGACTTTGATATCATAGTTTAGATAGATATTAGGATTGTGATAGTAGTACATTAACTACTAAAACCATATACCACATTATGTCATTGGAAAAAAGATCTTCAATTAGTATGTAGTTTGTCAGATAACCCATATAAGTTCTTCTATTTGTGTATGCATTATTATATGTATATTGAAATTTAAAGATACAATGGTTTGAGGTGCAAGTTGAGGAAACTAACTTTGATGTCATAGATATCAGTATTGTGATAGTAGTACATTGTCTGAATGCGAGACCACTGTCAAAATGATTCGGAGATAAATGGATGTCAATATCGACGGAAACACAATACATATGTAAAACGCAATCATGTTTTTACGTGTAGTAAAATAAAATATATTTAAAAGTAGAAAAAAAAGATAATAATATTTACTCAGCATATTTTTTAAAATATTTAAATTGAAAGAAAGAAATGAATACATATATAAAGCTTTCGTGTTGTCTAGTTGAACTAATAAACTCAGCTTTATTGAAAGATGTTACTTATTAAGTTATGTGCAAAACGCTTAGTTTAGTTGATAGGTATCAGATAGGTATTAAATAGCTATCGACATATGTTATTATAGACAGAACTAGCAGTCATCCGTTACATAGAAGACTTAGACCCTACGAAATAGCTCAGTTCTGATAGATATTAATTTATTGATTAGTTCGTATTGTGTAATTTTAATACTTGTTATTCTATTATTCTGTTATTTATTATAAAAAAGATATTAGGTTTATATGTGAGACATAAATATTTGTCAACGTATTATTATATTATACTTCAATGTTATATATGATAATGATGATATGATAACACTTGAAAAGTGTAAACAGAGCTTAAGCTATTTCTATAAGATTGGTAAATTAATTTTATTTTGTTATATGTTTTTACCTGATAGGGTTCATATGGTATTGCTGGCCGATATTGTGGTCCATAATAACCAGTATGGTGTGATAAGGTATCTTGATAAGATGGTCCAGGATAAGATGGACCCGGATAAGACGGACCATGATAAGATGGACCAGGGTAATACATCGGTTGCGCTATATATCGGCTTACAGTGAGCCGTACTTTATTTAAAGCGATAAATCCAATTAAAATTATTATCTTATTAAATATGTAATACATTTTGCTTTTGATTTTGTTTCTTTTCCACTATTTAAATATTAATTTCGTATATTAATTAATTTAATTCGTTATTCATTTAATATTTATTGGCACAGTAGCTTGAATTTTCAGTTTTCAAGGACACTTAGAGATATTTTCCTTGTTTGCTTATTATAAACTTTTTAATCCTTATACCGTATAAGGATAATTTATATTCACTTCACTTTTATGTTCGATAGGCAGGGTTGCTTTTTTTAAATTAAATTTAAGATGGCGACTTCCGTTAAATCCAAATATGCTTCCGAAGTTCACTTGCGGTTGTAACACTTCGAGTCGCCAGTTTCGATTGTCATATTTCCGCTTAATACCGTGAGCTTTTAATAGTTTTTTATTGTTGTCGATACTCTGCCAAAAACAAGAGCAGCTACTCACCTACTTGCATAATATAACAGCGGATGCTTCACTTTATCACCTATAAAAAATTGTGAGCAGCAATTAAAATAAAAACTATTTTCTCACATATAAATGCATTACTACATAACAATTAATAAAAATAATAAAATACAAAAAATATAGTAAAGAAGAGAATACCAAATGGTGAAAGAACGCCGAAACACGAATTTAGCAAAAAATATTTCGCGATAAGCGTGTCTTCAGAACATTCGAAGTCAAGTTCATGATTCAAGCGTTGCTTACAAAATTGCTCTACTCTTTCTTCCGGAACTGCATCGTTTACACTGCTGCGTACATGTTTTTTAATGCGTTTTCGAGAAGACATTGTTTTTCTTACACAATCTGAACACTTTTATTATTTACATAATATATTAATTATTATTGCTTTCTGAACGAAGCGACCACCTGAAGATGAGGCATTCTTGGTGTTAACGTCAGTAAACGTGCGTATGATGTTTCATAATAGCAGATTCTTTATGTACTACCGACCGGAAATATCTTCATAGACCCAATAATTCCGGATTGTAGAAGCGCTTTGCTATAAACAACCAAAAAAAAATAGGTTCTACACTTTCTATGCAGATTCTTCAATTACTGTAGACCGGAAATTTCTTCACAATTATAATACTTCCAGACTATAGAAATGTTTCGCCAAAAAAAAAATAGCTTCACTATTATTAATTTAACATTCTAATCGTATTTAAGAGAGTAATCGCATTAGGGCCTATATAGATTATTTATGTATAATAGTATAGATTGGAAATATATTTCTATAGTCCCAATTAAATAAGATATTAAAATCACTTTCCTATAAAAAAAATAGTAACTATTATATTACCATATTTTATATACATTTAACATAAGTAATTATTTCAGTGCTTATGTAGATTCTTAATGTAGTATAGACCGGAAGTAATACAACAGGCCTAATAAAACTTGTTGTTGAAATCGTTTTGCTATAAAAATCAATTAAGTAGTAGTATTAGTTGAAAATTTAAGTATCTATAAGTAAATCTTATGTAAAACAGTCTGTCACTAGTATCTTTTAGTAATCTAGAACGCTGTAGATGAGTTAAGAAAGTATAGACATGATCTTAAATAAATGATTAACTACAAACATATCCCAAGACTTTAATTTTTAGAGTAATATTAAACATTTATCTCTGTTCTTCCATATTTGTACTATCAGTGGTGAACATATCACGGACATTTGGCCTAGAATGAAAGCAATTAGATTTAAAAAAGTGTCTGTAGAAAAATAGTACTGTGCTTAATATAAAAAGTAATGATTTTGTTTGTGATTGTAAAGCAGAAAAATAATAATAGATGAAATGTCTTCAATGTAACATAAATTTAAATGTGCCGAGTCCACACCATAGCCCTCAATTAAACAAATATAGAAACACAACATTGTTTTATATAAAAGTTTTATATAAAAATAAAGCTAAGATTATTAAAAAGTAATTTTACTATCAGTGATGAGTCACTTCTCATTTGAAACGGAATGCCACTAGTATTTATGAGTAACTTATGAGTCTGTAGATTAGTCTAATATATGGTTTAAAATAAAATCTGGAATAATATAACATATTTTTATCATATTTCATAAATATATAGATATAGATACATAGATATATATAAAATATCATATCATAATACATCATTTTTTTTTTTGGAACAAAAATATTAACCACTTATATCTGTTATACTCGTATTTATCACGTGTTTGTTACAAAAACCCAGTATTTGGATTCAATTCGTCATATGGCATAGGACAAAGTAATATTTAAAATTAATATTTATTTATTTATAAGTCATTTTTTAAGTCAATTTTAGTTTTATGACTTCAAATATATAGTATATGGACAAAAATCGAAACCCTTCGAAATGGTGACACACATGATGTGTCTTTCTTTGAACCAAACATTACTTTGCGCTTACCTTCAGTATACAAAACCATTTTATGTTATATTGAAGGGAATGTAGTTATTAAGAGTAATTGTTCAGTAAAATAAGTCACGTTTTTCAAAATTATCTGCACATTATTTGTAAAAATTTTTTTAATCACAAATTTAGGTGTATTGCATTACATTATTGAAAAGCTTCAAATAATAAAAGCTCTGAGTTAATAATAAAATATGATATATAATAAACAAAAAACCTTTAAATTTATGTTGATAGTTTCTTCAATTTTGACGAAATGTGATTGTCTTTACATTCTATTTATAAGTTTAATAATTTTTTTATATTGTCACAAAATTTTTTATTTATAATTAAAAAAGCTACAATGGGCAGTGTGAATCCAAACTAATATGACCTAGGCACAGTCGAGATAGAAGTGACAAAACTGGTGGCAGATCGGAGAGGCCTTTAGCCAGTGGACATCCATGCCTAAGAATTGGGTATTCCATTCAATCAAAAGTGCGGAAACTCCAAGAAAGAAAAGAAAAAAGTAACTATTGAGCATTTTGTTTGCCAAGATTGAGACATTCCATTATGTAAGTTTACGAACTAATAAACCTTAAAGACAGGATAAATTTAGAACGCAACAAAAATTTTTTTTATCAACTGCGTAGGTTATATTTAAGACCACTATTAATACTACGATTATGAATCGGGTTTGTCACGCATATTTTCAAAACAGTGTTTATGCGTTAATTGAATAGAAGAGGAAGCTCTGTCGCCATTAAATTAAACAATCAATCAATGCGTATCCATTTTGTATGAATTAAACCAATGATAGTCTAAGTCTATCAATTCCATTTATTTCTATATTCGTTGTTTAGATTCATATAAAGTTCTTGCACAAAATTTATTTTTATTAGCCCAAAAACTAAGAAACTACTTTACTGACACCCAGAGAGAATTAAAACTACAGATTTTTTTCAGGTTGATAAAGAACATATTAGTTTATATTGTGTAACTTTTGTTCTAAATAAAAAATTCTACGAATATTGAGGTCAATATTACTACCATCAAAAGAAAAGCATCAAAAGATTTAGTATCAGAATGTCAGCCCCTCCAACTGTCTATTGAAAATAAAATGTAAAAAGATTATAATCGTCGGTGCATACAAGATCATAACGAAATCTAAAACAGTAAGTTTAGAACAAATGGCCGAGCAAATAGGTTTTTGTATTTCTTACATTGTGACCGAAAGGTTTTCGGAAGTTCTCATTTAAAATTCGCGCGCTGTATATTTTTCGATATTTTAAGTTTACGTAGTTTGGCAGCACTGTCCTTAATTACTATGCCAAAAATGAGCGCGATCTGTCAGACAGTTCGTTTACGGCAGCTGTTGAAACCAGTTCACCTCAGTAGTGCGTTGCGAAAAAAACAATGGAAAAAAATATTGAACAAAGAGTTTGCATCAAATTTTGTTTTTCGAACGAAATTTCGTGTGCAGAATCGTTGCGAATGCTACAAAAGGCTTATGGGGAATCAGTTTTATCGAAAACTCAAGTTTATGAGTGGTACAAAGCCTTTCAGGACTGTCGTACGACCGTCGAAGACATGCCGCGTTCTGGACGACCTTCGACCTCTACCACCGACGAAAACATTGAAAAGGCAAAGGAAATCGTGTTCAAAAATCCTCATGTGAGTGTTAGAGAGATAGCACGAGAGCTAGGCATCGGTCGTGAGATGGCTCGTTTGATTTTGGTGGACAATTTGTGTATGCGACGTGTCAACGCCCGGCTTGTTCCGATTCACCTCAATTTGTTCAACATTATCAACGATTTTAAGGCCAAACATTCAATAAATACCATCGAACAGCCACCGTATTCACCTGATCTTGCACCGTGTGACTTTTTCCTGTTTCCCAACCTCAAATTACCACTCAGAGGAACGCGTTTTGAATCCATAGAAGACGTAAAACAGAATTCGCAGAGGGAACTCAAAGCCATACCGGAAAGCGCCTATAAAAAAAATGTTTTGATGATTGGAAGAAACGTTGGCATTTGTGTATCGCTTCTAATGGAGCATATTTTGAAGGAGATAAAATAAATATTGATGAAGATTAAGAATTTTGCGTTTTATTTATTTATGACCGGAAACTTTTCGGTCACAATGTATGTATAATATTCTTGATATTCAGATGTCTGAGTTGGTGAATCGGCACCTTTACTCTATTTTATCTGTGGACAGTTTTAAGTCACACTAAGAATAACTGAGTATGGGGCTTTATATATATATATATATTATAAATTTTTAATTTTGTGCTTTTACTAAGTAAATATATAGGGAATCTGATGAAAATATTAGGTGAGAGTTTTCTTGAACTCTCTACGATCCTCTAAAGTCATAAAAGTTGGGAGTAAGTGTATTTTTAGAAGTAAGTGTATTTTTGATTTCATTAAAGTAAAAATTGAGATACCAGGAAGATTCAACGGAGCGTATACTAGGTGGTATTCGACAATGAGTGGGTACTTCCATTAGTTAAGTCAATGGAATAATGTGATGTATATAAATGAGTTGAAAAAATGCAATCCATTAGGATTAACAAATCAATTCCTGTTACAATTCATCAATTCCTGTATCTCTCATTGA